TGGAAGCCAATTTCGAATCGAACCGCATTGCTGCCAGCGAGCCAATTGTACTAGTTGCTAACTAATTACAATTACAATTACGTTAACAATTACAATTACAATTACAATTACAATAACGATTACGATTAACACATACAACATTGACAACGCATAGTTAATATATGTACAATCCAATAAATTGTTTGGTTTTTGTCACGCGTCAAACTCAACTCAACTCAATCCACAGACAATTCCATAGGTACTACGGCTTACTTTATACATATATTGTATCTCTCGCAAGTACGTATGCCATTGAGCTGCGCTCAAAAACTCTAGGAATTTATGATAACATTTTTGTAATGCTAGATATATAACGCATATGTATATATATATATTTATAGATATTGGATATATATTGTTGTTGGTATAAATGTAACTCCAAACTGACATTGAACAACATAAAATATTTTCTTTCTTTTTTTCTTCTTGTTTGTCTCTCTTTTGTTTTCATATATTCTTTTTTTAGTTGATAATGTTTTTTCTTTTGTTTTGTTGTTTGCAACAAAATGAAAAAAGCAAAGCCAAAAATAAATTAGCAGAAACTCAAAAGTTAAGAATACATTTTAGGCGAAGCGTGTAACCTCTTTTGGTCGGGCATTCCATGAATATTCAAATGATAAATGCTCTTTGAGTCAAAAATCTATCACTTGGATAACTTAAAGTCCCTGTCAAGCTAAGGATATCATGAGATTAAAGCGAAACCTCCCTCAATGTATAGCTGGGAGACCCTACTCCACGTTGAGGTAGGCTCCCCCACCACTTGGCTCCACACGAATTCTAACACTTTGCACCTGCGAACCTTGACGAGCACGCCCCAAAGGCCGACCCTGGCTGTTTGTTCGTTCGGTGTGGGCCATTGCCGTGGCAACAACGACTCAACGTTGGGTCTGTTTATCCCATACATATTTATGGGTACGAGTACGAGCACATGCACAGACCACTGCTACTACAATGTGCCTAATCCATAATAAATCAATGGTGATTGGAAATTTTGGTTTTTGGTTTGCAACAGAATCAGTCTGGGAAGGGGAGCGGCAAAGCGAATTCGAGTCACAGGGCTGACCTTTAAATGATTTTCCGCTCAAGCTGGGTGTCCCTCCTGTCTGCCTGCCGGTCCGGAGCCCTAAACAAAAGGGTTCAGCTGTCAATTTCCCCCTGCGTCGCCCCTTAACGGACATCCGCACTGTTTGTCGACGCTTCGTCTGGGACTGGCTGGCGTGCTAATTAGGTAAGTGGCTCCAAGGTCGCCATTAAAAAAGAAATAACAACCCAAAGAAACGAAAATAAAAGAAAGAAAAGCAAAAGGAATATGAAAACATAACAAACCGAACGCAAGAACGCAACTTAAGGGTAAGGAAATAGAAATTGAAATAGACACAGATATAGTTACGGATATGGATATGGATACAGAATGGGCGAAATAAAGAAGGAGAAACTCCTGGCTGGCAAGTCAAACATCCAATTAGAAGAACACAGAATGTACACAGACTTTTCAAAAGGAACTAAAATTGAACATAACTTTAGATACAGATACAGGGTACAGGTGGGCGGTGGAAGGTAAAGGTGAAGTTACAAAAGGTATATATAGAGGTAGAGTATATAGAGTAGAGTTTGGCGTAGTTGAGATATATGTTATTGCATTTGTATTTATCTTATTTTGGATGTAAGCGTGGTGGTAGGTTGGTAGGTGGGATTGTGGATTAGAACTGGGATTTGGCATGGGCTGATTGGGGATTTAGGGGTACTTTTAGCTGGGTTTTCTTTTCTCATATTAGTTTTTTTTGTTAGGCATTAGGCTTTTTTTTTTAGGCTTGACTTGTGCAAAACACACTGTGGCAACAACTCAAAGAACTGAAGAACTTACCATCGTGTAGTGGATCTATCGTGTGTATCATTAGCTGTAATAGGCCATGACGGAATTTGGCACCGGTCTGTGTACTACCCGAGGTGCCACCACCGCTGCTATTACCTGTAGCGCCCGCGTTGCTCGAGCCGTGCGGCCCAGAGCGCGTCTCGCTTGCCGCACGCGATGTCACCGAGCCGCCCGGCTGGGTGGCCATTGAGGTTTCCGACGAGTTTGCCGCATTACCCTGAAGTGGAACGAAGAACAAGAACGGATGGACGTGGGTACGTGGATGGTAGTGGTACGGTTACGTTACGGGTTTACACACACACAGTTACGGGGAGAATTACGGGGATTACAGATTATTACGGATTATTGTTTAGTTTTTTGAGTTTTCAGTTTTGAGTTTTCAAGTTACAAGTTTCGAGTTTCGAGTTTTGAGAGAGCGGTGTAATGGTTTTCAGATTTGGTTTTGGTATTTTTTTTTTGGTAAGCATTATTCGAGAAAAGGTGAAAAGAAGAAGAAGAAAAGTTTATTATTGCAATTTGTATAAATTTACAAGTTGAGTGTGGTAGTAGTAGTAGTTGTCGTAGCTTTTGTCTATCTCTTGTCATGTTGCATGTATGTATTTATGTATCTGTTTCTTGTTGTTTTCTGGCTGTGATTGCTTTTGTTGTTGCTGGCTGTTTGTTGGTGTTGTTGTAGTTGTTGATGTTTGTATGGTGTGTGGCTTAAGGACTAATCGAATCGTTAAGTGCAAGTTAGTTGGGAGCCAATATCTGAACAGAACTCAAGACATTGAAACGAAAACCGAACGGAACAGAACTCAATGAATGTCAAACTCAAGTCAAATGTCGAAAAAAAGAAACGATTTACCACACAACATCCAACACAATACGATACGATACACGGACCACTTAAGAACTGATCAACTGAATAATCCATCTATAGTCCGACGGGAGTACCTTAGATAGATCGCTAAGCGCTGGAACATTAAGGAACACTAGGATTGTCTGCCATCATCGTTGGATTGGAGTAGGGTTTTTGTGCAACAAATTAAACAGTTGGATTGGATCTGTGTGTTATATACAGTACAGAGGCTCTCGTGGATTGTGGAGCTGTAGCATCGGGGCATGCTTGAAGGAAGGCCTTAGGGCCTCAGAGGAGGGATCCAAACGATTCTTAAACCTATTACGAAATCAAAACGATAAGTTCGAGGATGAGGAAACAAAATATGTAATGATGAAAACATTTCGTTTTTTTTGGTCGTTGAAATTTTTCTGTTTGTCTGTTGCAACATTTTTTGTTGGGTTTTTATACATACAAGCTTTTGAATGACATTCTTTTTGGGTTTTTTCTTTACTTTTTTCTTTTTTTTTTTGGTTTAGATCAAACAAAATATACACATATATATTTTTATATACGATATCTGTATTGATATTTGTCAAAGCGCAGTGGGAAGTTTTGTTGTATTTCATTTTGCCTTCACTATAATCAAAAAGAAACAGATAAAACACAAAAACATTTGGAAAAACATTTGTCAGAGAACAACTGAAAACCGAAAAATACTTTTCAATTGATGCGAATTAATTGGCACATTAGCGAAGGAAGCGCACAGGCAGATGAAGGGAGGATCGGTATCGGTGGTAGGTGTAAACAAGTGCAGGCACTAATCATATACATATCTACTACATATATATAACAACTATATCTATATATTATGGGTGTGTGTGTGTGGAGGGGAAGAATGAATGGAAACGAGATGATAATTGGTGTTACATATACCCCCTACCACCCGAACTCGTACGTTCGTTTGGAGAACGAGTCTTTCGTAACTCCATTCATGAATCGAACTTAAAGTAAAACTGGAACTGGAACTGAAGCAGGTGTAGGGCAAGTCAAGATCAGACCACTTGATCATTAACGAGTCGGAGTGGCTCGTGCCAGGTGAACTACCCCACCAATCCGATTAGAATGCTAATTAATGCCCATTCATGTTGTTGATCGTAGCCCATACACTATGGGATTCCTAACCCCACCAGCCACTCATTCACGTTTCGGACTAACTCACTCGTCGCTGACGCAAAACCTGAAGTAACCTGCGAAATCCGATCCAAAAAGAGGGAACATAGCAAAGCAGAGAGAGAAAGAGCTCTCTCTTAATTACCTTGAACCCGTACTAAAGTGAGATCTGTCAGCTGGTTCTGATTGATTTTGACAAATGAAATTAGCCACAATTAATGGTGGACTATCTGTATTAACCAGAGCCGGAGCTGCAGCCCGTGTATGAAATCACGTTGAAAGTATTTTATAATATCGAAAATTCATCACCCAATCGACGACAGAGGTAAAGACAAAGACAGACTCTGTGTTGGACAGGGACAGCAGACAGCAGACAGCAGGGCAACGTAAGTTACCAAAGCGCTTAAATCACATAATGAATTATTTAAGTCCAGCATGAATCATTCTCAGTAACAATTTTCAAAAAAAATAACACTCAATTCAACAGCTTGAAAATTTCGCCTGCTGTTTTTGAGTATTCGAGTCAAGAGGGCGACCGACCTGAGAGGCTTACCAAATGATCTAAGAAATGCAAATTGTAAAGCAAACAAACCATAAATGAGACTCGACTCACACTTGAGCCCAATTTGTCACTCAACCTGTTTGTCGTTTTTCGAAATGAAATGCAATGGGAATCGGCAATCGGAATCGGAAGAAGTAGCAGGGCGACCCCGAAACCAGTTCCAAGAAAAACCGTTGATATTCCTGGTACTGGGGACTCGATTTTGACGTAGGCATACTTTGTTTACATACAATCCGCGTTTGGAATAGTGAACGATTAAAGATAAAGCCATACGAGGCTGATAAACAAGATCGTTGATCGCTGATCGCTGATCACTGACCGCCGCGCGTTGTCTCGACTCGAGGCGAGCCCCACCGACGTAGAGCTTCGCTCAGACTTCAGAGCTTCGTCGTCTGAGTGTGAGACGGAGACAGAGACCGAGTAGAAACCGCGCTGGCTGACTGCATCGATCAGTGCGGTCGATTGGCGTTGTAATTTTTTTTATATAGCGGGCTTTTGCGCACTCCGTGCATCATTTAGTAACGAAGCTTAAACCGAACCGCATCGAGCTCTGAAAAGCGCGCGCGCTCTCCTTCCCCGCGGAACCATCGAGAACCAACATCGAAAAGAACCAACAAACACAGCGAGAATGTTTCAGAAAAGGATTATCGAACTTATTGTGGTGCTGCTGTACTGGATGGTGATCACGCCGGCGGTTTACAAGATATGCAAGGACAAGAACATAATCCAGGTGGATATGAATCACCTGCTGGACACCGTGGCCGAGCACTGCACCTTTGGCCTCTGTCTGATGGTGGGATACGTGATCCTCTACCGCATAGTGATCTTCATCTACATGAAGCTCAAGGTCTGCGACATCCAGATGTGGCATAACCTGAAGAAGACCCAAGACGACCCCGAGGCTAACCTAAGCAAGAAGTCCCACTACCAGGCTGTCTCCACGGAGAACATTGACACTGTGGACAGTGGCAAGAAAAGGCCAATGACACCCAAGATGATAAGGACCATCAGCAATCCCTTGCTTATCGAAAGCGATTTGGCACGCATTCACGTCAAGCACGAGACACGACCGCTGCAGAGTGCCACACTGCCTAGGTTGCAGCACGCCCAGGTCCACGCCAGTCCGAGTCCCAGTCTAAGAAGTGCACCGCCAGTGCCCATGCAGCCACCGAATGTCTACAACCAAGGTGTAATCATGTCGCCAAAGGTCCTCATGCCAAGACATCCAGACATGGTATAGAGAAGGATAACGGAGAAGGATAACGAGATCCATTCCAAGTATTAGCTACAACCCAAAGATCGAAAAGACAATCGAAATACCCACGAAATTAGTCAATCATCACAGCACAAGGCTCTTCCTGCAGCAGAAAGAGTTCGAGTGAAGTTTAGTTAGCGAATTATTATGTTTTATGTACATATGGATATTTATTATTAGTCGTAAGAATCCTTCTTGTTATGTGAGTAATTATCGAACCGTATATGTGTCATATGCCGTTATTTATGTATAATAAAGAGAGAACAATTTTCAATTAATATACTTTGAAAGACTTATCATTTGAGGGACCGCAATCCAAATGAATGAATCAAGCAGATGTGTTTCCCAGCAGAGTGAAGTTATTAAAGTTCTATCCCAGAGGATTCCATTCCAATGTAGCAAAGTTAGCACAGTTTTCGCCACATTATGAAACTGTGCTACAGCAAATGAAATATGTGTGCGAACGAGATGGATGGATGTGTTGTACAGAGCAAGAAGCGTATAATGAAACAAAAATACAACTCAAAACTGTTCTACGCATGCGCACGCGTTCTCTCTTACTCATTCACACTCTTTCACTCCGCTCTCACTCACTTGCACTCTGCATGCGACGGACGACGTCTGGTTTATGTCTCGGCTCAAGATCAAGTTCGAGTTGTGTGCAAAGTTTCTTTTTGGGGCTTTAGATTTAGTTTACTTTCCATGCAGAAGAAGATTTTTGTTCTCTACGGATTGTGATCGTGTGAGGAGGAGATAGTGGTGTATGCCTGTGTAGGTGTGTGTGTGTTTGTGTGGTCTCAGCTGTGTACGTGAGTGTCTGGGGGTGTGTCTGCATAGGTGTTAAGGGTGTTCAAGTCGAAAAGACGGCATAGCAAATCAAACTTTTGACTAACAAATGACTCGAAGCTAAGTACTAAAGAAGGAAATAAGGAGTTGAACTAGTGATCGAGAGAAAGAGTATTTAAAAGAATAGTTATAGTTCAATAATAAGGAATAATCATAAAAGTAGATAGAAATTGAAGGTGGAACGTAGTCGGGTGTAACAACCAGTTGGCAGATGTTTGGTTCTAGAAAGTTTCTACAAACCTTGCGTACAAGTTACTTAGCATAATCATGGTCTAGGTGAAAGCTACGAGAATCTACTAGAACTATAGACGTAGATGCGAGTTCCGGAACAAACTGACGTTTCCATACTATTTACATTAATATATGCACATTCTGTAGGATCTAATTGTGCCATCAGGTGTAAAAATAACCTCATCTAACCCTACACCGGTTTGATATTTACTATATATTATAAATATTTTCCCCTAGACGCTAGAAGAAACCGGTTTCTGAGAGAGGAAAGACCCCAAAGATGGGTCTAGAAATAAATTTGATTTCGGAATTTCGATTTCAATTCATAATGAAACCAAAAGTGGGTCAAGGTACTGGAGAGTGGGCCGCTTTCAGTTCCTGGACCTGTTTTCGGATCGAACTCACTCGAATTGCAGTGTCACAGGTGAAATTTGTGTCGAACTCTGGACACTCAGAGGCTGATGCTGAGTTATTGAGTCGTGCTTTCAATGTCACTGTAAAGATCTCTTAGTCACGGACGTTTCATCTGCGATTGCAAAAACAACCACGAGCAACCCGAGGTGTTGTGTGCCCTTAGTCATAGCAACTTAAACACCTGCCAACTGGTTACTGCCTGGCACGCGCCAGCAGCTTGAATGAGTTTCGGGGAGATAGATGGAAATGGAAGTTGGGTCGGTGTGGAAGATGGACAGATGGGTGGTTAGTGGGTGGGAACTACGGTGGATAAAAAGGAAGGAAAAACATACACAAAACGAAAATCAAAAACGAAATTTCGTTCCTGGCAAAGGATCTTCGTTTTCGTTTTACTCTTTGATTCTTTTCTTTTTATTTGGCACACAAAATTTTGGCTTTCAATGTCGCTTTCTCTTTTAACGTTTACGATTTTCTTGATTTACGTTTTTTGTAATTGTTTTTTTTTTTTTTAATTTTAGTTAATTTCTCTTTTTTTTTTGTTAAAATTTGCAAGAGAGAGAGAGAGAGAGATTTTGTTGGATTTTTTTGGATTGATTTGATTTGATTTTTTTTTTTTGCAAAAAAACTTCCCAACTACTTACTGCTGGCATAAGTTGATCTGTACTTCGGACGCGAGTCACCTTGTTTTTGGTAATCAACTTCTTGACGCACTGCTCCACCTCGACGTTCCACTTCATGAAGGTCACGTAGGCGATGTAGATGGTGAAGAGGATGAGGGCCTCCCACCAGAAGATGCGATTGTCGCGGAAGAAGTAAATCAGCACCAGGAGGCTGATGCTGTAGAATGAGCAGTCGCGGAAGAGGGGCCACCAGGTGAGGGAGAGCACAGTCTTCGAGAAGAGAGCGCACATCCCGATCACGAATAGTATGTTGAAGACCGCAGAACCAACGATTGTACCAATGCCAACGTCGTCGAACGACACGAAAACGCCAATCACACTTGTGAAGAGCTCGGGGGCACTGCCACCCGCCGCCATGAAAGTCGCGCCGGCCACATCGTCTGTAATGCCGAGCTTTTCAATGATTACGTCAAGGGAAGGCACGAAGAATTCATCGCAGACAATTGCCAGCGCCACAAACATATAGATTACTCCAATGATGTGCAGGATGACAGCGCCGTTTTCAAGCTGTTCTTTCGTGAACAGATCTTTCGGGAATAGTGGCGTTTTCGTGACTGTCGAATTCTCGCTGTGAGTGTCTGCAAAAATATGGAGAGAAAATATGGTTAGAGTTTGTGTGACATTTAGGTAGCTTAGGGTATCCTTTCTCATTCCCTTAAGAATTTGGAAAATGTATTTACTTAGTCATAACAGTAGCTAGGCGGTAATGAAATCGTCTTCCTCCGTTGACTGACAAATTTGTCATTTTACTGACCTTTACCTTTAATAGTTTTGCTCCATCCCCATCCCCATGAGACATCCTCAATTAAGTGGCTCGACCTTTTGGAAACACTGCCTGAACAGAACTCCCTTGTTGCATGCGGCACCTTTTGTGTGCAGCGATTTTCATGGGCAATTATCTTTAAAGTAAATTATGCACCAGCACATTTTGCAACAATTAACAAATTGCACTTATTCGCGCTGCCAACTGTCGATGTTGATTTCGATGTCAATAATGATGATGATGATGTATAGTAGATATGTTGACTGTAGTTGTGGGGATGTTGAATGGTAAATGTTGGTAATGTAAATGTTTATCAATCATTTGCACTGTAAGCAATCATTTTGGCGCGTGTGCCGAGCAAATAATTGACGCGACTTTAATCGCTCGCGTGGCTCGTCGTCGTCGATCGTCGGCATTGACTTCTGACTGATTCATGGCATATTTACACACACCCCGCGGGCTCTATCAGAGTTTGTTTATCTTCTATAAATTCTTGTGGCGCCGCAAAATGCGTAAGGAGTCCAAGGAAGGGCCTCTTTAGAGCCGCTGGGATGGAGTCACCACTGAATTAGAGCACTCTACACGGAGGTTGACTCACTTTGAGGTCAGATCTGGGACAGGCAAATAGACAGACAGACAGACGGCAGACAAAGAAATTTTTCTCTAGAACCGGTTCCTGATTCTGTCACATTTGCATGCAGCTAACGGAGAACGGAGAACGTACCCCACCGCCGCCACACCCACTCAATTAACCCACCTTTACGTGTGGGTGAGGATGGCGGGGCGGGACACTCGAGACCCCAAGCCCGATGCCCGCTGGGAGCATGAGCCACAAATGAATGATTTTAATGAATCACCTGCCAAATGCTTTATGAGTGACAACGACGACGACTACAGCGACGCCTCTAGAAGGCGATTGGATTGAAAAAATGTCAATTTCCAGGCTATGTGCCTTCGGCTGGGTGAGTGTCGTGGGTGGGTGCCCTGCATATCAAAAGTAGAGCATCGGCCCAGGCCCCCAGTGCTTGGGTAACCAGAATCTTTTGATGTCAGTTACACACTCATTCGGTTATGAATTGGTCAATCATTGGGTTAGCGGCTTAAGAAGAAAGCAAATGGTATCGGAAACTAAACTGAAGAAGCGCCTCATGTGAATCATCTAGAAAGGACCACTCGCTCTTATCGGTTTCTGGCGACTCATTACTCATTATCCCACACATAACTGTCATTAAAAAGATATTTCTCGTGGTGGGACTTTGAGATAAAACTTCTTTTCAATCTCTTCCTTTTATTCAAAATGAATAATAATCATAAAGATTCGCTCGACGAATCTGGGGGTAAAAGGCAAGCAGATCTAATCAGAGAACCTCCACTCGAAGTTGGTCATCAAATTGTTATTGGGTTCACTTGCGAAGGTAACAAAATAATGACTATTAAATATTATTTTGTATTATTTTCTGTTGTTGTTGTTGTGCTTTTGATTATTTATTGCCTTTGCCCATGTGGGCGTCTGCCTCGATGGCTGCCTGTTGTCCCAGTCTCTCAGTTGCCCCCTCAAACCAGTTTCGAGTGCCGTTCTTGAAATGGCACTACAATTTGACTAAGCGACTGCAGGCAGCAGCAGCGGCAGCGGTAGCAGCAGTCGTGTCCAGAGCCCAGAGTCAGAAAGCTTCTAGAGCACATGTGTATGCTAGCGGTGGTTGCGTGATAAGCACCGGGAGAGAGATTGGGGGTGGAATACTGCAGAAGAAATTTGTTTTAGATGACGGGGGAGTGACGTGTTCTTATCAGTGTTCATTCAATATTTAAGCTAAGAAATCTTAGAAAGCTGGCAAAACCTCAGTTCCTAGGGATGGTAGCGTGATAAGACACGAAGGCGCGTGACAAGTCACGAATGCATTTTGAGATTGAAACTATGAAGTAATTATTAACATAGAGATGTGAAAATAAGTGGTTCCTTCTGATTCAGACATGTTCTATCCTCATCCATATGCTAATTTATGCGATGACTGTACTGCAGTTGGCGATGGTCGCGTGATTGCTCACGAAAGCTAACATTTCGTTGAGGAATTGCTGTACTAAGGAGGCTCATCACATCTTAATTCACTTAATAGTTTTGTGGCCAATCAATGAGCAATTTTTGTGCGCGGATCGTGACTCGTTTTATAGTCTCCCCTGTGGCTCCCATCGCCATACACATACAGCACTCTCCCATCTCGTGGATGCGTCATCGTGCGACTGAGACGCGTTGTTTACGGAGCAGCAACCGAAAACGAAACGTAACAAGAGAACAAAACCACAGAGCAAACAAGCCGCTGCCGCTGCCGCTGCCTCTGGCCTGGCACTCTCATTCTGAATTCGCAATCAGTTGCAAAGTGGAACCCGATTCGCCCAGATGGCAGCCACAGTCACTCAGAGTCCCATCCGTCACAGTGCCAGCCATGGCTACGGCCAGGAGCCGCTCTTCGTTAGCCGGGCAACCATTCAGCTGCAGTTGAGGTCCCCTGCTGCCCCGCCGCGTATCTACGAGTGGCATACACAGGTCGTAACGCCACCCACGCCCACGGCCAGCCCCAGGCCCACCCCAGAGGCGGCGGAAACGGCAGCGAAATGCATTAAGCAGGCGGGGAGTGCGGCTACAGCGGCCACGCCCAAACGATATACGCCCCCGCGGATAATGGGAACCGAAGCGAAGCCAAAGAATCTTCCACAGACCCTGGGCAACTTCTTCGAGGTCGAGCGATACGAGAGTGGCTGGAATCGCGTGACAAAGAGAGACTTCTAGAAGAGAGAGCCAGAAGATGCAAAGACGGAGGAGGAGCAGGCGGCCTAATCGATTAACTTAACCCATTAAGTGCCAGGAGAAGGAGCTACAGTAAACACACACACACACACACACACACACACACACACACAAGAAAGTGAAATTCCATTGGCAAAACTCCATATTTTATACGAGTATTCCCCAGACCCAGACTCAAACCAAAATCCAGGCCCCCATGAATATTAATGTATGATAAAGCAATAAAAAGTATTATTTGATAGATCGAGTGGAATTCTTCTTCAACTTTCGAGCTCCCAATGGGTTAAACGTCATTAGGCGGGGTGGCTGATAAGACCCATTGGCCCGTGAACAGAGAGGCTTTCCTTTCCGCTACGTCATCAATGTGCATAAATCACGGCTGAACAAACGAACGAAAATTACACAAACGAGAACGGGAGCAGGAGAAGGAGCAGGAGTAGAGCAACAACAAAAGTAATAGTAAAAGTTAATAGAAAAAGAAGGAAAAAAGCAAGGAAAAAGCGTTTGCCATGGCCGGAAGTTCATTATGGAGGCTCGTAGCACCCGAAGCGGAAGCGGCCCCTAGCAAACACACACACAGCACTACGAGAGGTACAAGGGGTAGAAACACTCTGTGGAACGTGTGGAACGATAGTGTCCGCATGTTTTCACGCTTCGCTCTGACCCGCAGTGTTCGCTGGCTCTAGTCTGCCGTGAAAGCAGCTGCTAATTTATCAGAGAGACAGCGCGCTTTGGCACGAACGGGACAGAACAGAACAGAACGGAACGGCACGGCGGTGCAAGAGTTTCAAGGTGGCTCTGGGGAATCGATTAGCCCAGCCAAAATCAGACCGAAAGCAGGCGAAACGTGCAATGCACATGCAACATACAGCCAGAGACAGAGCCACGGCTAGAGCCAGAGCCAGAGCCAGGGTTGTCAAGTGGCTGTTGAATCAATGCAGGCATGGCCCAGCCTCGTCTCTAGTCTCTCTAGCAGCCCTGCCGCAGTGTGCTCAATAAACAGTGGGTGGAAGTGGCAGTGGAAGTGGGAAGGAAGGAAGGAGAGCCGGGGGCGCACTTAAGGATTGCCATAGAAAGTTTTATCACGGCTATGAGCAGCTGTCAATGAAGGTTGCCCGATGGCAACCCTTGCTGCTACCTTTGCTTTGGGGCCACTTTCAAAAGTTATGGCTACCATAACTTGGCATAGTTTTTGATCCCCAAAAAGCACACACATGAGTGGGCCGCATTTTAGCCTAATCAAACCGTTTTGTTTCGTCCCCTGGGCAATACCGTTGTGGATCTAGCCCCAAAAGTGCAAACAGAATAGCAGTACCATACCATAACATACACCATGTGCTTGACCCAATTTCAAATAGAATTACACTCATTACATAAACGACATAAACTGAAAAGGCTTCGTACTTTAATGATGCAACATTTCTTCAACTAATTTTCACAACTTGCAAGAATTTATGGACACATTAAAGTTTCCCCATGCATAAAAGAGATCTCTTGAAAACTTAATAAGAGAATCATTTCAAAGTTTTTCGAGTGCAAAACATTGTCATTCAAGCAAAAAACCCATGAAATGTCCCGAGTAATGAAAACCCGGATTACTATATTTCTCAATGAGTCAATAAAGGTTTTTCTAGACGTACTTCTAAAAATATTAAGAATTCCAATCGGTTTTTTGCTCATTCGATTTGTTTTCGATTCATTAAGATGTGATATGGAATGTTATATGGTTTTAGAATGTAAACTGATGTCTGAAAATCTTTGATTAGCAAATCAGTGTGTCTAAATTTAACATTGCAAAACCTTTTCTCCGATAAGATAACTCTCTTTAGAGTGTTTCATGATATAGGGCTTTGAATGGAAACTGATTAGCTCATTCACTTCAGTGTTGCTTTAATCAAACATAAATAATATCCACTTAAAAAATTTACATAATTGAACAATTTTTGATCTAGTATATTCTCGAGAGGTTACGGTTCGAAAAAGATTTGCTTACGCAGTTGCTTACATTCGAGACCAGACTACGGATTGCACATTTGATAACCGGTTTACTACAAACAGTCGGACATACCGCAATCCCCGTATTTGAATGAGTCATTGAATGATAACGAAGCGTGCACCTGTCATTGATATCGAGATGAACAGCAGTCGAACCCCTCGGGGGCCCTCAATCATGAATCACCCCTCGAATCACGGCTCACTCGGGGTTTTTGTGGAATATCCAATTATAACTGTATTGTGTGTGTATGTTTTTGGGAACTGTGATTCCGATTATTCCTGTTGGGAATAGCAGGGCTTGCAGGGTTTATCCGATTAGCTGAGTCAGTCCCCAGGGGGAACGGAGTGGCCAAAAGTCCAGAAGTGATCCAATTATGCTGCATGTTGCAGCTTGGATTGAAATTAATGCCGAATCACAGTCGGGGGACCAAAACAGACAAACCCAAACGCAAACACACACAGACACACAATCGGGAGAGCGAGGGACAATTAGTGTGGCCACAAGCAATGGGAGGACCGAAAGGACATGGAATGTGTGTGTGTATTTGTCTGTGGTTGGGGGGGGGGTGTCAGTTTGGGAGTAGAGGAGGTTGAGCGGAATGTCAATAATTAAAAAGGCGGGCAAATGTTGTCATTTCAGGACCCCAGAAGCCTACAAAGCAGCAGCAGCAACAAAAAGAGTTGGGAAAAACTGGTAGAAGGAAGGAAGGAAACGACTTCCTGCCACCCACACACGAAGCAGCCATTTGCTGAGCCAACCCTCCATACCCCTACCCTTACCCTTACCCCTTCACATTCAGCGTTTCTCGTGGCTTTTAGCATGCAACTCACACGTCCTTGCCAGTACCTCCTGCTCCTGCTCCACCATTCACCTCCTACGACGTACTGTGGTTGCTTTTTCCTGTTGTTGGCATTTTGATTTATCGATTTAAATTTTGTGTTTAAGGCGCTCCGTGCGTGCTCCGTTTTTCGGTGGGTGTGGGGGGTTGGGCTTGGGATTTTCCCTTCGGCCAACTCGTTTTCCGCGTCTCTGGTTTTGCTTCTTTTTCTGTCTTGTCTCTGTTTTTGTTTTTTCTCAATCATTTTTCAAAATGTTTGCATACACCGCCATCCATATATGGTAGATATGTTTATTGTATATTTTTTGGACGCCTGCCGTTTAGGTCGAGGTCTTTACTTAACTTTATATTCTTTTCCTTTTCTCGCTTTTGGCTCAGGGTCTGACTGGGCTCGGGCTTGGGGTTTGGGGCTTGCGCCCACCCACACGACAAACGTCGACGTTGAGAGCTTGAAACGTCGTTAACAGCCACGTTTGCGTGTGCCCCACACACACACACACACACAAACACACACACACACAGATACACCATAGTCCTGCACACACACATACATAGTATATCTCACGGGTGTGTACGAGAAAAGCGGGCTCGCAATTTGGGTCGATGGTAAAATAGAAAAGCCAAAAGCAAGGCAAATACATACACACCCCAAAAAAACATACACACTCACACACACATACATGGTTATAGTAGTAGTACCACGTGCACACACACATACGATACGTGGTATAAAATTTCGAACAAAGGTCGTTGAAGAGAAGACCAGTGCCACACTGTGGCACATAAAATATATATATATACAAACTCACACGTACATAGAGCCATACACATATAAATAGTATATCCCCCCACAACCCACAGATACATATGTATTTAGGGTGACCTGTATGTGTTTGTGTGGGTCTGTCTGCATTTGCTGTTTGAGCTTTTCCCATTTTGGTTTTGTTTTTTCCAAGTATTTCCCGCTGGTTTCATGTTAATTGCTCGTTGCTTGTCGCTTGTTCCACCAATCTGCGTTAATTTTAAAGCTTGATTTACACACAAAACACGTTCATGGTTGAGATACAGATACAGCTTCAACATTCAATACTGAACCGACCAAAAAGAAAGCATATTTATGGTTGATGTCTCAATTGAACCTCGTTTCAGTTACATTTTCTGCAAGTGTACTTTCCCTCCCCTTTCAATAGTTTCATGTGTCACGAATTCCAATTTCGATTTCAGTGGGGAGTAAAAAGGTGCATGGAGATTGCAGGGATTTGTGGGAGATTTTGCAGATTGACATCATCATCATCAATGGAATCCACTTAGGGTCATTGCCATTCCATACTTTATAGGGTGCCCATATAGTCGATTACTGAGTGCCGCATTCAGCCAGCCATTCCTTTGTTCATTCAGCCACTTTCAGACACACTCACACGGAGCACACAGGACCGACAGAACAGACAGAACAGACAGGCAGGAGCAGACCAGAGACAGCTCTGTTGAGTCATTAAAATGAGAAATGGCTCTAGGGTCCGCACGCCTAAGCAAACAGAGTGCAATGTTGGGTTTAATTGTTGGCCAAAATGTGACTGCATCGCACACGTGGAGCACACAGAGAGACAAGAGAGAAGAGACGGGAGGCCAGAATCAGGGTTAAAAGGTGAGAAAGGGGGAGCCAGCTTGACTTTCGCTGATGGGGCTGTAACTGAACTGAACATAGAAAAAAAAGAAAGGCACAAAAAGTGCCAGGGACATGTGTGCACAAACATAAATTTATACCATTGTGTGTGTGTGAGGCGCTCGGCAAGTGTGAGGGCAAAACTGCAGACAGATGTTCCATTATGTTCATTTGCAGTCGCTTATGCGGTCTGGCCTGCAATGGGGCATATAATTTATGTTCACAATATTACGTATACGCAGGGCGCGTGTTTCGCCTCAGTAGTGGCCACTCCGTACACCATAGGTTACGTATACGCAGTCGCAACACATAAATACAAGAATTACTATGTGCCGAAGGAAGCACAACGGAAGCGCTGAAAGAGTCCATTTACTACATAAATATCTGGCATACGGAATGGGGTCCCTTAAACTACGGCTGGTTAAGAATTTCAACCGTAATGGTACCCAGTTTATGTCTTTAAATTTCTGCCCTCAGTGGCATACAAATGGGAGACTTTGCTGATTGACTTTTTTCAACTTTTGTCAACACCTTTCGCATTGTCAGTGAGTGGAATAAATAGTTAAACAGATGATGGATGAAAT